AAATACAGTATGCTGTCCAACAAAGGTCCATCAAGCACAAGAGTAAAGCGAATAGACATACATGTTCTAAAAATGAAAAATAATTACAAACTACTGCTCCATTTAATTCCTGTACACATTGAATTCTAAGATAAATGCTACAGCCTCTGTTTTAGTGCCGTCCATAGCAACCAAAAGTATTGTTAAAAAGATATTAATTACCCATTTGCCTGAAGAGCACTGAATCGAAATTCATTATCACAAAAACTGACCAAATGACAGTATTTTAAGCATCTTTTTTTTTTATGAAATAACTGTTAGCAGTGCTCATTTTGGGGGGTTCTCAGAGAATAGAGAATCTAAAAGGACCTTTCTAACCCTTCGAAGGCAGACAGGCTGTAATTTGAGCAGTGAGTGGTCCGCTCAGGTATAATAGAGGAGTCCTAGCAAGAACTGAAATGTGCTTTATCTTGATGCCAGAGCACTTTCTGCCCAAACGATCCTAGACAGCCTTTTCTAAACTTCAAGTGAGCAGTAAATTATAGCAGTTATATTGTCCTCACCTGAAAGGCTAAATTTGCCGCTACAACCTTTCTATCTTGGTCTATCTTGTCTCGCTTTTGCCATGAAAAACAACTGTTTGGTAGGTACTTGCATCTCTAAGATACATTCAGTTACCAACAGCTCCCAAAAGAAATAAAAAACAAAACAGCCCTCCTCTTTTGGCTTAAACACATTAGCAGGATGAGTACTTCATTTGACCAATAAGGAAGATGGAGAAAAGTCTGTCTAAAATTAGGAGGAAAAAATTTCATTACACTGAAACAAAAAGGAAAAGCACAATGTGCTCTGAGATTACAACTAATACCGTAAGAGAGAGAGAACAAATAAGACGTAGAACAAATAAGACAAGCATTATTTGCTTCATTAGCTGGTTAATGCAGTAGAAACTAAAGGAGGTCCAGTTTGAGAGTCTTTTGTCCTCTGATAATGTTGTAGCTGTAGGTGAAGGAATAAGAGATATTACTATTGATTGAGTCTAAGACAGGCAGCAATTTCAATTCCTGATCACATGGGGGAAAACAGTGTCCGTCACTTGTCATTATGCCTGTGAGCATCAGAAGATGTAGCAGAAGAACAGGATTGTTGTTTCCCAGAAGGATATAGAGGGAAAATAATCAATAATACAAAAATAAAACAAATATTATAAAATAAAAGATCAAATAATGTATAAACCACTCTAAAATAACACTGTTTCAGAGGGAGACTGCATCTCTTTTGCCTCCTTTGAGGACATTGTTTTCTTACTGAGGAAGACAGGCAAAAAGTCCATTGCTGTGATTGGCTACACTGTAAAATAAGAAGAGGAAGAAGAAGAAGAATCCATTAATTGTTATGGACATTTCCATGAAGTCTGAAACACAACAGAAGTAAAATGCAACATCTGTTGTTAAAAAAGGGAATATTCCTACAGCTACATATTAATACAGTACATTGTGCCCTATTTTTGCAGGTTTTATATATAAATATGTAATAATATTCTAATATTAAATGCTCGTTGTAGTACACTCTCAAAAGAAAAATTACAATTGTCACTTGGGTGGTACCCTTTCAAAATGTACTAATATACAGTGGGTACGGAAAGTATTCAGACCCCCTTAAATTTTTCACTCTTTGTTATATTGCAGCCATTTGCTAAAATCATTTAAGTTAATTTTTTTTCCTCATTAATGTACACACAGCACCCCATATTGACAGAAAAACACAGAATTGTTGACATTTTTGCAGATTTATTAAAAAAGAAAAACTGAAATTTCACATGGTCCTAAGTATTCAGACCCTTTGCTCAGTATTTAGTAGAAGCACCCTTTTGATCTAATACCGCCATGAGTCTTTTTGGGAAAGATGCAACAAGTTTTTCACACCTGGATTTGGGGATCCTCTGCCATTCCTCCTTGCAGATCCTCTCCAGTTCTGTCAGGTTGGATGGTAAACGTTGGTGGACAGCCTTTTTTAGGTCTCTCCAGAGATGCTCCATTGGGTTTAAGTCAGGGCTCTGGCTGGGCCATTCCTAATCAAGTCCAATCAGTATAATGAAACACAGCTGGACTCAAATGAAGGTGTAGAACCATCTCAAGGATGATCAGAAGAAATGGACAGCACCTGAGTTAAATATATGAGTGTCACAGGAAAGGGTCTGAATACTTAGGACCATGTGATATTTCAGTTTTTCTTTTTTAATAAATCTGCAAAAATGTCAACAATTCTGTGTTTTTCTGTCAATATGGGGTGCTGTGTGTACATTAATGAGGAAAAAAAATTAACTTAAATGATTTTAGCAAATGGCTGCAATATAACAAAGAGTGAAAAATTTAAGGGGGTCTGAATACTTTCCGTACCCACTGTATACAACTATTTGGGTACTAATATACCTTTAAGGGACTAATAGGTAGCATTTAGGAGTAAATAAGGTAGATGTATCTTCTAGCTTCTATACCTTATGGGTACCACCACAGTGACAGCTACACCTTTTTTTTCTGAGAGTGTAGTGTAAATAGTGTTCCATGTACCATGTAAAATATCAAATGTAACCGGTAAATTCATTTACATTGGACTGAAGATAAAACAAACACTGAGAGGGAACTTTGCCTGTGAATTTCAGAAGTTTAACAACACACAGCGCTGCTGAGCAATGTGTTTCAACTTACAGGTTCATTCACAACAGACTGTAGCACTGTTTTTATTTTGTATTTTCTCAGAGCAAAGAGTAAGCCTCGATTTTTCACAGAAACCCTTGCAATAATTTATGTGGGATATGGGCTTTTGCATTATTTATAAGCGAATGCATTGGAATAAACTTTGCTTTTGCCAAAATTGTGTCAAGTATATATTTCATTAGACATTGTTGGTTTTGCTTTGCAAAACAAAAAAAACATTGTAAATGTATTACAGGATATAAAACATCTCGCAATAGTTAAAAAAAGTTAGAACAAGGAGCTTGGAAAGTTTTGTGAAATTTTATGACTTCCAGCCCCTATTCTTTCAAGTATTTATATCATGTTGGGAACCCATCTGGTACATCGATATTTGTTGCACTTCTCCATTTGATTCCAGCAGTGTAAACAGATGTAATTAGACATGTAAATCACAGCAGGGTCTTTAGCTGTATGCTAATTAAAAGGTGCATTTACAAAGTAGGGAGGGTGTATGAGTTAAATACACACCGGATGCCACTGGTACCGTATCTGTGTTTAGTAGTACTACATTCCACAGAGACCCACTTCTAACTGTACTTTCTGTCTGACTCAAACTTTAGAGTGCAACAGAGGGCACTTGAACAACAGCGTTTACCAAGTGGTTTCTGAAAGAGCAGTTTTTAAGACTGGAGATAAAATACAATAATGATACTTTGATTCAAGCTAACTTTTGTAATCAGATTTTAATAGTAGGGATGTTTGAGAAACCATTCTTCTGTGACGCTACCTTAATATGAATGATGCAATAGCAAGGCTGATAAATCATTTATGCAATTTTTGTTTTCAATGTGATTTTTTTTCCCCCCAACTAGTCGGACTATAAGAAGCGCTGCATGATGTGATTTTATTGCTCATTGGTTTGGTCTCCTGTAAATCCTCCATGGTAAAAATCATATTCCACATATCTGTATATTTAGCATAAAACATATTCATGATTAGATATGGTTTTGTTGTTCTGAACTACAGAAAAATATCTTCCTGGTACACTGTACCAGGAGTAAATAAGCTACATGGCCTCTTTGGATTTCTGTCTTTAAGAAAAACATTTTAGCAGATTTAAAGGGATGATGAAATAATTTCCTCAGTAATGTTTCAAAACCTTCATTATAATAAATAATAAAGAACATACACACACTGTTTGTTTAGACAAAGTGAATAATCTGGAAATCGCATTGGCTACATTTACACAGCTGCAGATTTTTAATATAGAGTATACATTTTAGTTTTTAGTATAGAGTATACATTTTAACCACAAACTTTTGAAAAATAGTGTACATAGTTACAGTATACTATTATACAGATCATTTTTGACCTCAATAAAATCAACCTATTAATTCCATTAATTCAATATTCGATTAACCTAAAATGCTTTATAAACATTTGGACATCTCTAAAGTCACTCATACATAGAATGCTGTTTTAGAGGCTGTCTATATGTTATAATATATGCATTAGTCTCTAGGCAAACGTATGGAAATATATGTGCACTGGAACAAACAATACCTACAGTATGACTACTAATGAGAGCATGCACAGTTCTGTTATAAACTGTTCAGATAAGCAACCAAACAGCAAAGAAATTACTGTAAATGTAAAGGACAGATGACTATGTGTTGTGTGTATGGTTGGACCGGTGATGTACATGGGTGTTGAGAAACATCCGCTGTGTCTGTTTAATTGTTGAGCCACACAGCAGTGCTCCCAGATCTCCTGTAGGAGGTGGACAGAAATATTGCACATCAGTGGCATCTGTAAACTTGTCTGACAATGTTTAAAATTCTCTGCAACAACAAATTGCCAGTGGTTTATTTATTGCCTTAAACATACAGAGATTGGAAGGCTAAGCTATAAGAAGACAGTTGAAGTATTTGTGGAAGCTCTTGTGCTCTCTCATGCTACAAAGAGGATCAAGATGCCTCTGAACCACAAACATGCTGTGGTCACGGTCAGCAACGATGAATAACTAATGGACAGAGGAAAAAATAAAGAGAAAGAATGAAAGACAGCAAAAGAGAGAGAAATGGTCATGATTTTGCCTTATCTTGAAGAAGAAGCAGTGATGTGTGAAGCCGAAGATGCCTCTGAACATGCACAGACTCAAACTCTGTCCTTTGTGGATTACAGCTGGCCTCTTCAGGCATAAACACATACGCACAAACTTTCCCCAATTTTTCACCCCTAGGCAAAACTATAGACTGACTGCACTTTGTTTTTCATGGAAAGTAGTTTCATGTTGGCATGCTGCTGTTGTGTTTTTGTGCCAAGGTCACGACTGGCTGATTTCCACACAAACTGTCAGATGACCCCTCACTCCATCAGCAGCTGCCTCAACGATGACTATCAGGCCTGCCTTGCATCTTACACCAGACTCATTGGTGAGCTGAAGAATGTTTTTAATCATTTTGTTTGGGATATAGATATACAACAGAAATAAATGCAGTGAATGTTCATAAACAATGTATGTATGCATGTATGTATGTATGAATCTATCTATCTATCTATCTATCTTATCTATCTATCTGTCTGTCTGTCTGACCTCAATATATAATATTTATCAGTAGATAGATAGATAGATAGATAGATAGAATGTACAATAATTTTAAAATTATTATTATTATTATTATTATTATTATTATTATTACTACTACTACTACTACTACACATAAACTACCGTTGAAAATGTTGGGGTATGAGATTATTTTATTTTATTTGGAAAGGAATGAATACTTTTATTCATCAAGGATGCATTAAACTGATCATAAGTGAAAGTAAAGACTTGTTACCATTAATTTCTATTTCAAATAAATGCTGTTCTTTTGAACTTTCCATTCATCAAATAATTCTGAAAGAAATGTATCATGGTTTCCACAAAAAAATAAAAAAAATAAAAAAATAAAAAATATTAAGCAGCACAACTGTGAACAACATTGCATCACTGGAAAAAATTGCATTTTAAAATATATTAAAATAGAAAACTGTATAGAAAAATATTATTGTCTCCACAATATTACAGTACTTTTGATCAAACAAATGCATCTTTGGTGAGCATAAGAGACTGCTTTAAAAAAACATTAAAATAATTTTACTGACTTTTGAACGGTAATGTATTGCATAATATTAGAAAATGTAAGTCATTGTCAATAGAGCTTGAGAAAAGTACTATTAATATTTTATCGAACTTTTGTGCACCATCTTTAGTAAACATTAAGAGCACATCAAATATAATTAAACTGAACAAATATTAGTTTTTTGACTCATTCATTCATCAATAACAAAATAGACAAAATAGTCAATAACAAAAAGACATATAAAATATTCTCAATTTTACCCCTGAAAAGTAATGCTGATGCTCATATTCATTTAATAGTTTACTGTGATACACATTATTTAGTAACCTAGAATGACTTATTTTGTTTGATTTGTTCTCCTTATAGGTACAGACATGACTCCTAACTACATGGACTCAGGTCACTCAAACTTCACCATCTCCCCCTGGTGTACCTGCAGGGGCAGCGGGAATCAGGAGGAAGAGTGTGAGAAATTTCTACAGGACTTCAGAGAAAACACCTGTCTCCGTAAGTCTTTCTTCTTTTGTTATTAAAGCTTTTCTTCTGTAAAGTCTGTCCCTGCAGCTTCAGTTGCCACTTAGCTTTCAGCTTTCTCATTCAATTCAGAATTTATACTCAGCTTTTTGAGAAGTAATTGAGGATGCGGTACTTATATGAGCATGCGGTTGTTTAGAAATAGGTTTCTTTGCTACTTCTTAAACCTGAATGCTGCAGCTACGGTGACGGTGTTTGAAACCTGCCATGTTTTGTGTTTACTTTCCATTACAAAATTCATTCCATGTGTGGAAGTTCTACCCACCTCTAGAATCATAAATGTCTGATTGTTTTGTAATTAATGTCATGCTTGTTAGCAGAAAGTAAACATGTTCCAGCCTGACATGTTATCATGTGCTGTTACAGGACTCCTTTTTTGGCATTTCATAGTGATAATGTGTCAGTCCAGTCATTTAAACAGACTTTTATGGCTTATTTTAAAATAATAATCTAATTCATTCATTCATCATCTAGATTTACATATTTTAGATTTAGTTTAACAGAAATGTGCTTGGTTTGAAAGAGAATTCTGTATGAGCTATTGACAATAGACTATGGACCTTTTTTTTTGTCCACGAATTTGCTAATGTGACTGCCCTTAGTAAAAATGTTATATATTTAAAATACATTTATTCCATACTAAATATAGTTCAAATCTATTAACATATTTATTGACATATCGCTCAAGATTTACTCATATAAAAATAATTAAACTTTATTCGGAGTATCACTTGTGCACAATGCACATTTCTTAATATTAAGCCTACAATGTGTTTTACTGTCACTACTGATGAAGATTGGATGATCTTTGAATAATATCAGTCTTTAAAAGCAAGATATTTAAAGTGTACATGAAGTATACTTGCAATAGTTCCACATTAGCACAAATATACTTCAGCATATCAGGGCAGTCGTGGCCTAATGGTTAGAGAGTCAGGCTTGTAACCCAAAGGTCACGGATTCGAGTCCCTAACCCTAACCCACGACTGAGGTGAGACCCTTGAGCAAGGCACAGAACCCCTAACTGCTCCCTGGGCGCCGCAGCATTGGCTGCCCACTGCTACAGGATGTGTGTTCACGGTGCGTGTTTGTTCACTACTCAGTGCTGTGTGTGTGCACTTGGATGGGTCAAATGCAGAGCACAAATTCCAAGTATGGGACGCCACACGTCATGTCATTTCCTTTCCTTTAGTTGGGCTTAAGCACTACTTCCGCACAATTAAAGTGCACTAAGTACAAAATTAGTTGTTCCAATTTAGCAGACTTTAAGTATACCAGTTTAGTATACCATAAGTACAATCGCAGGGTATTTTATTAAGTAAATAAATATGTAAATGTATTTGTAGTATACTCAGCATGAAATAAATGTATTTCAAATACATTTTAGTACATTTATTTGGCACCTTTAGCTTTGAGATAATATGTATGCTAGTGTTCTCCTAAACAGTGACTACACATTTAAATTTTACAGTATTGCTGTACATGGAAAATGGCCCAAAATAATTTTGTCCAATCAAATGCTCTCTAGCAAAGGCTTAGCAACTAGCAGGATGTATCAAATCACAGTTCATAGAACATGTAAATGATTGTTTGTCTGAGTTATGCTCAAAGAAAATACCAATAGATTACATTGATGCAGTTTCCTGCTAAGTTGACAAGAAAAGGCCAACTTGGAAAATAATGTTAGAAAATAGACTTTGTGTATCAATGGTTATAAAAAAAATTGCATTATTAGATATAGGCAGATCAAATTATTATTAACAGGAGGCAAATAAAAGAGAATCTAAGATGAAGAAATTCCCCCCAAAAAGTTTGATTGCTTGGCAAGAATATCTTCCAGAGAGTGAAATAAATAACAAAGTGGAAAAATGAAAACATAAGATAATAAGCTACAGAGCTTCAGGCATTAGCTCAGGAGACAGTTCATCCGATATCCCACTGTGAGATAGGCTGAGAGAGATTTCTCAAGTCAAAACAAGCATGGATACAGCATAATTTGCATGGATTTTATGTAGATCATGGCTCTCTTACCAAACCTAGCAAGCTGCTTTCGTAGACTGCATTTTAAGGAATTGTAGGCATGCTTTTGATGTGACAGTTGTTGCAAAAATAAACTATACCTCAATTTAGGTGAATTGTAAGGTAGCATCAAATACAACATATCCTTACTGAGAACATGATAATCCCATAATAAACTGGCAGACACAATTAATGTCCTGGGATTTGATGTTAGTAACATACTAATATGAAACTCTTTTGAAATCAATAGTCTGCTTCACATTAGCAGCATTATTCTTATGGTGTTGGTAAATGGCTGTTAGTGAACTTGTGTTTTATGTCATAGATACAAGCTCATGGAAGCAGTAGACAGCAAGCCAGCTCACATAATTTTAAGATAGCCTGTGTGTGTGTGTGTGTGTGTGTGTGTGTGTGAGTGTGTGAGTGTGTGTGTGTGTGTGTGTGTGTGTGGGGTG